TGAGAAAAATTTTCTTACTCGTGCTCTATCCTACGGTGCAGGATGGTGTAACTCTGTGCATCTATAACTAGTGTCTGTAATAATCCAAGGGCGCATTCAGGAATTTTTCAAGGGATGCACAGACACCTCTTCTGGCTATGTCCCTCTGATAGTCTCTGGCTAGTATTTGTCACGATCTGTAGGAGGAGTTCAAATTTTTACTCCTATACTTCAAAACTCCTTTTAGAACGTGTTTCATAAAATTCATTTTTTTAGTTACACTCCAATGGATAAAACAATAATACAATATTCTAATGAAAATTCATTAAAATATCCATATCATTTATCTTATCAACAACAATTTTTATCATCACATAATTTATTTCATCGACAACAATCACAGCGAACGAGTCATTCAAAGTAAATGAAAATTTCTTTTTCTTTTATTATAAATTAAATTTCTTTTCTTATTAAAGAACTGTTGTTGATGATGATCATCGAAATGCTCAAGAATAAAGCGGTAATGATATAGATAATATTGATGATGATGAAATTCAGTCAAATATCTTTTCTTGTTTCTTTATATTTATTATTATTATTTTTTCTCATCTTATTTTTTTCGGCTCAGCAACGTATCATTCAATGTCTTTCTTTTCTTGTTCATCTTTTTCCTTTTTTTTTGTGTTGATCTTTCCTTATAATTACAAACATCTGAAAAAATATATAAAAATTTAAAATACAAAAAAAAAATGATAAAAAGAAACATTTTTTGTAAACACTTATAAAAAAAATACCAGTAATTCCTTCTTGTACTCGTCTTCTCTTCATCTTTATTTTAGTGCTTTTTTTCAGTGAACCTACAAAGATGAGAGATATCCTATTCCATAATCCCTGTGTTCAAACTTTATTAGCCTTATGACATATTCTACTCAATATATGTATATATATATATTGATACTAGACTTGTTCCTTGTACATGTATTTTCCTCTTGTTTTTTTTGCTATTCATATGTCTATATTTTTCTTTGTGTGCGTGTGTGTGCATATGTTCAACTTTGTTTGTTTGGTTCTTTCTCATACAATCACAAATTGTCCTTTTCTCTAACTCATGCTCTATGTTGCAAAAGATTTTGTTGATGTTTGTTTTTTCTTTCTCTTGTGCAAGCTTTATCTATATGTATAAATTTCTCTATCTGTTTGAGACAGTCTGCGAAAAAAAAAAGTATCTAATTAGAGTTAGACAGATATATATATATATATATAAATATATTTGTGTGCGGTGGCTGCACTTTCGGAATAAAACCGAACTATCACGAATGTTGACTTCAGTTATTATAACTGATCAACGAAAAATAATAACTTTTAATATTAGTTGATTTTAAAGATGAAGAAAGTAATTAAATTTGATGAATTTTTATTTAAAACAAAATCAATCATTTGGAATAATGTGATAAAATTGTATTTCATTGTCATATGGAAGTATATCAAAAATAGATAGAACGAAAATGTTTATCGAAAACGCAACAAATAGAAATTCATGAAACTAGAATCAATTTGGATATACATGTAAGAAAATACATAGATTTTTGATAGACAGTAATAATATTGATAAAGCAACGCAATATGAAAAATAATAATAATAAATCAACAATTAATTTATTTTGATTTTGATTTTATTTTTTATTCAAAACTATGTTTTTCATTTCTAATAATAACAACAATGATATAAATTGTCAAATGCAATTAATTTTGTTGAATTTTCAGTCTATAGTTTAAGACTATCTTCAGAAAGACGATTAATTGATTGAGATGTTGTACCAAAACATGAAACACGATCTATATCATCAACAGAACCTAATCCACGACCAATACCACCTATTAATCAATGGATATTTGAATTCCTAAGTAGAGAGATAAGTATCATGATTATAGTTGCTGTAATAAATACATACATTTAAGAAAAAATATATGAAGTTTTGATAGACAATAATAATATTGATATAAAGCAACACAATGTCCGAAGATTCAACAAGATTATTTGCATTTTACAATTTATGTCATTGTTGTTATTACTAAAAATAAAAATAGTTTTAAATAAAAAACTAAATAAACATCAAAATAAATCAATTCTTGATTTATTATAATTTTTTTTTTCACAATATAGTGCTTTATTAATATTATTATTGTCAATTTGGATATGCAGATTAACGATCGAAAAATTGTCGTTTAAATCAATCAAGGCATATATCTAAGCTAATAATCTAGAAATGTTAAAAAGAAAAAAAAAGCTTATCGACATTCAAAGATCAATCATATTGTAATCTTACTAAGATAAATAAAGAATTATTGCTGACATTGACATTACTAACAGATTTGAAAATGATGAAATCATGAACAATCGAAATTGTCATAGAGTGATATTTGAATTTCAATTAGGTCATCAGTGTAGTACATTAATCGTGATAATGTCAAACAACTGCTATATCTATTCATGGAACCAGAAGTGTCCTGAGGCTGTCAGAAATGAGGTGGAAGTGTCGATGACTCGAGAGGCCGATTGGAAGATTTTTGCTAAAAGTTTACTGGATTGGGGGAGATTGCGCGTCTTTTTCAGAATTGGCGAACAAAAAAACGATAAAACGCTGGAAAAAAACGAATGTTTTTCAAGATCGAGGGAATATCTCCTCGCCCCCGTGTTCGTAGCCATAGTATTAATTTTATTAAACAATTTATTGAAAATAAATGATATAGATCAAGCAATATATATCAATCGATATACCATTGAATAAATTTGATCTGAAAGCCAAATATTAAATTCTATAGAAAAGAATATTTTATTCAAATGTTAATTAACGATGTCTTCTAGTTTTACAGACATAGGTACAATACAACGCAAAAAAGAAAACAGTTCTTGTTTATCTTGTAGTTTAATTCTAATACACACTTTTCTTTAAAAGAAGACAAAAACTTTCTCAATCCCATACAGATGTACAATAGAGTTGTTCAATGGCTTTCAACATAGTTCGAGCTGTTTGTCCCATTGATTCAATTGCAATTGAATATTGATAAAATAACAACTTGACATCATCAAACTTGTTATCTTCCAATGTTGCCATTGTTGTTGTAGCTGATGTTTTTCGTCCAGTTTTCTTAGTTGTTATTGTTGATTTACTTGTCGTTGTTAATTGTTCCTAATAAAAAAAATAAAATAATTTTTTTCAAAAAAAAATTTATTTACCATAATAACTTTATTGACATCATTTAAAATAATTTCAGCTAATTTATCTAGTGTTATTGGCTTTTCATCTTTTATTTTTTGAATAATTTTTCCTAATGGTATTAATACTTGTTGTTGTATCAAATTAAATAAATAATCATCTAAACGTTCAGAACTATTCATTATTGTTAGAAATTTATGTGTAAAATTTTTTATTTCTTCTAACATTCGATTAACAACTTGAACATTTAAATCTGGATGAATACTTTTAATAAGCGAATCAGACAAAGTACCATTATTAATAAGTTCTTCATATATAATATCAATATGAGTTATATTAACTATAGTTGAAATAAAATATTCTAAATCAAATTCTCTGTCAGTAGCATACCATATACTACTACCTAATTTTTCATAATCAATATTACGCATAGCAGCATGAATAATAGCTTTACCATCAGTATTTCGTCGAATTTTATTCATTGTTTCATTATTATTAAGAATTAATAAAGCTACAGCAGTATAATTAACATCTTTAAATGCATTAGCCATTACTTGTTCGAGTACAGATCCTTTAATATTACTAGTACTACTGTCTTTTGATCCATCACTACCAGCAAAAAGAAAACGTTTTTGACGATGATGTTCACTAGAAAATGATGATGATGAAATACGATAATAACGCATTGCTATTTTAGCAATTTCAGGCACAATTTTTGTGATACTAGTTGCTGTACGAATCAGAGAACATGAACCAGGACTTAGTTCAGCAAAAACACCAATTTGTAAGCAAATAATGAAAGAAAAGAATATCAATAGACGATACATTTTCGAATATGATTTGCTGATTGATTGAAGTTCGTATTTATATACACATCACCCATAGTGTTTGTTGCCAATTATCTCAAGTATTTACCAATTAACATAGAAAGATTTGCGCAGTAGTATCAATATGTTAACAACTTCTCAAAACGAATAGATATGAATGTTAGTTTTCAGATGTTATTAGTTAAAAAAGAAAGTCTTTTTTTTGGCTTGCTATATGAGAACAAAAATTGTCAATTTACAGTTTAAAAAAAGGCAAATTAAATGCAACAATTTTGATCATAATCATCTTCAAGTTAAAAGTAATCCCACTTTTAAAATTAAAATTTTTTTTTTTTTTATATAAAAAAGAAGTTCGTTCTCAAAGGTTTAGATAGTCATGCAGTAGAATGCAGGGTGGGAAAGAAAGTGTAACAACAACAACGTATTTTTCTATAATATTAAGCAATTAACTCAAATCCAGATAGTGATTTAATAGCTAATGACGTTTTATATCTAATGCATTGTATACCACGATTTCATAGATGAACTATGATGGTAAGATTTCTGAAAAACCGAACACAGTAGTTTTCAAGAGTCCAAAATGAAGAGATGCAGTATTTATTACGATCTTCTCCTAAAAAGCTAAAAATATCACAAAAACAGAAAGAGTGTGTTTTTTTTTTGATAAATTTCGTTTTTTTACGGTTTCTGTGATACTTTTAACTTTTTAAAGGAAGGCAGCCATAGAATATGTGACGACCCGTCATTATATGCTCTTGACGATAGTATTTTTCAAAAAAATAGTCTTCTGAATCTTGAAAATTACCGTATTCTGGTTTTTAGAAATCTTACCATCATAATTTCTCGAAGTCGGAGTCGAAAAGTTTGACTTCGCAGAACTGTACTATGCACAGATTCCTTTGAAATTATAGATTTCTTGTTTTTAAAAAATGATAGAATATTTCGGCAATAGTATCACCAATGTAATCTACCTGATATTAATAAGAAAAGAACAAAAATATTAAACATATCTGTATTGGTCATTATCAGTCTATGTATTAAAGCTTTTTTTAAGGAGCTATAGAGAATGTCCAACATGATTGAATGCAGGAATGCTAATGAAAAAAATTATAATCATTTAGTAGAACCTGTCGGATTGGTCCCAGACTGAGACTCAATCAGGACTGGGGCCGGGTTCGAAAATTTGAACTTGACAGGCTTATCCTTCGGTCTCAAATTCAGGTTGATATATTTCGTATACAATAAAAGATACTTATTCTGTATTAAAGCTATAGTCATATAGAGAACATGACTCACTGAAATTAACCCTATTTTAAAAGGCGACAACTATTAACAAGTAAAAGTGATGATTACTCATTTTATGCATCCGTGATACTTGTCTTATCTTGATTCTTTTTTTAAATATCATTTCTTGTTTGAATATCTATTTATACATAGTAGCTATTGTTTGCCTATAGCAGTTTAATTAATTGTTCTTATTTGCATAGTTATAAAAGAAATCGAGATTGATTTTCAAGCTGAATATTTACTAGTGATGGTACTAAGCATGATAACTATCAGATGGCATGGTCACAGAAAGAAATATACTTATTCGAAGATGATCATTTGTCAAAGGAATTTATATATCATATTAAGAATGTAAAGAATTACAACGAAGTCGATAAAAAAAAAGATGCTGATATTAATATACAAGGAGACGATAAAATCGAATAACTTTCATTAAACACAAATATCGAGTATAGCACTTTTGAACATTCTGATAAAAGTGCTTGATAGACAATAACGATATTACTTTTCCGTATAAGTTCCTTGTCGACGATGTCAAATATATAAATTTGAAAAGCTTATATCACACTTTTTTTTACACACAGATTTATTTTTCATCTTTTTCATAAATCCAACTCCATAACTCGTTAGTAATATTATACCATCATATAATCAATAGTATCTTCTTAATCAACACTCAAGTATAATAGTCAAATAATAAAAATTCGTTTTAGAAGAAATGATTAAATAAAATTATTTATCAACCTGAATTTCGAGACCAAAGGACTATAGTACAAGATAATAAACAAAATATTTTTTTTTCATTATTATATGAAAATTAATATTCAATTGATTAGCAACAAAAAACTATTAGAATTAATAATCGAAAAATTAATCGTAAATTTTCTCTTAACAAATAACAATAATCAAAGAAAATTCAAAAAACACCATTGTTTTTATGACTTTCATCATCTATAAGAAAATAAATTACAAAAAAAAATATCGAACAATGTCGTTTTTCTTTTGTCTTATTTTTAAATACGAGGAAAATTAATAAATGGAATAAGAATTGGTGTTCGACTTCGATATGTATGATAAGCAGGATTATTTCCAAATAATTTCATTGCTTGTCTTTCCAATATTGGAATTCCACTTAAAAATGAAAGCAGCAATGTTACAAATACAGGTGAAAGTATCCCAGTAAATTTTTCATATCCAACAAGCATATGTGATGATGATATATAAAGACCAAGCCATAAACATATTTCACCGAAATAATTCGGATGTCTTGAATATTTCCAAAGGCCAGTATTAATAAAATTTCCCTAGATAAATACAAAATGAATTTTTTTCTTCTAAATTAAAATAATTATTCATTTCTATACTTTATTATTTAAATTATTTTTAAATGTCATTTTTTGTTGATCAGCTATAACTTCAAATAGAAAACCAAATAACCACATACCCCAACCAATATAATCTGTTTGTGTTAATGGTTTATCAACTTCTTTTTGATTAAGATAAAGTGTTGGTAAAAGTGTTATTATTACCCAAAGACCTTGTTGAAAAAAAAGATTTTTAAATTATTTTAATTTAGATTTAATTTTTCTAACCTTGCATCATCCAAGGTATAAATAATCTCGATGGAGAATTACGCATATGATCAAATCGTGAATCTTTACCAGCTTTTAATATTCGATAGAATAGAAATGCACCTAATCTAAACATAAAAAGAAAAATATAATGCAAAAAACAAAACATGTTATGTAAAAAAGAACACAAAACATTGTTATTTATCCAAACCAAAGCAACTTTATTTAATTCTTATTATCATATAAATAAATATTTCCTTGTACAGAACTCATTTATAGGTATCAACAGTTTGAATGATGTTTTTAATTTTTCGAATACATTTAATTCTATAACTCTGTATTAATATATCATTTTAATTTCAATTATTCATTTTACATAAAGAGAAGATAATAAAAAGTTCTTGAATCAAATAGAAAATTAAAATAAAGAGACAATCATCGTAAATAGTTTTCATATATGAAATAGTTGGATTAAGTTTAGCTTTTCTCAGGTCTCAGCCCATAAAAACATGGACCTACAATTCCTTAATATCAGTACTGTTTCGCATAATCGAAAAAAAACATAATTATGATGTCGAAAACAGCATATGATCAGGTAAATAACGAAAATGAAGGAAATAAACGATATTTTATAATAACAGACAAGAACATTAACATTTGATAATCAATTTTCGCTACTACACGAATGCAAAATTTACTATTCGATTGTTTTGGATCTAGACAAGTTCCTCTGTCAGCTGATGTAAGTCCTACAACACTAAATTAATATTCGGTTCAAGCATTTGTTGCTGAAATCGAATGAATTTGTCAAAGTAATCTTGAATAATAAGACGATGGATCAACATTTGATTTACAAAATGGTACGGGGCAAGCTGAAAGTTTTGTTGTCAATGAATTTATATATTAAGTGTTATTTTTGCTAGTTTTGCGTAGTTTGTTGTATTTATGTAAAACATCGGAGGTTGTTTATTTTCATATAGTTAGATAGAGCATCAATTACTCTGTTGAATTATATAGTTTTTATTTTATGTCTTGTTTGAGAAACGCTGAACAAAAGAAGGTCTATTCAAAAAAAAACATTGCGCTTTTTAGAGTATCTCGATATTTTGGCTTTTTTATTTGAAGAACAAAAAATAAAAAGATACTAATCTCAAAACAGTGTATAGTGCCTGTAAAACAAATTTTCAGCTCGATTGAACATAGCATCTCAGTAGAACGAGAGCGAAAATTAAAGACTTTTTCTGCCATTGCAATCTTAGTGTCTCATAGAAGACAGCATCTAGAAACTTTGAGTCTATGATAACTTGTGTTCAACTCATCAATCTCTACCTGCCTTGAAAATTTCAAAATTTTTGAATAAGCTGTTCTATAGAAACGCCGGAGGAACTCTTAAAACTTTTCTTTAGTATATCAACACTATCTTATTGGCTATAAATTTAAATATTATTTTTAATATTACCTTAATGCCCAAATAAATACACAAGAACATTGAATTTTTTGTCGAAGAGTTTGATGAGTTTTATTTCGACTTAGATAAGTTAATAAAATAAATGTTAAAGAACCTGAATATATAATATTTCAATAAATGAATTCAATATAAAATTTATTACCTGTTAAATCAAAATATTTTTCAGTTCGAAATTTAGCTGAAATAATCCAACCAATAAATTGAATAGCAAAATCAATAGAAATTAATTTTCCAACTTGTGAACCCATCTAAAAAAAACCCATCAAGATTATTATTTGTTAAAGTTTGTTTTTTATATGTCTAAAAATTATCGAACTTGAATCTTTTCTTTTTTTTTTACTTCATATGGTAATTCTTCTGTGGATTTTTGTTTCAATCTTCAATATCTTCTGTATTTATATTTTAAAATAAACCATTTTCAGAATAAACATTATTTTGAATTCCATAATCGAATTCTTCGTTTAGTATAGTAAAATCTTTCTAATTTGGACACTATTGGGACCATTCAAAAGTGCTCATTATTGAGAAGTTTTCAGTTTCTTTTGTTGCAAACTATAAATATTCAGTTGTAATCGCTTTTTGGCTGCATAAGATGATCTTGTTCTTGTTTCCAGTGATTTATTAATTCATTATTTTTAATCAGAAGTAAATCAATACATCTTGATATGATTTAATATTACTAGTTATTAAGACAAAAAAGAAAACGACGAGATGTTATGCTAAGCACTATTGCTGTTGTCTAATATTGTTTTTTTTTAAATATACGCAATTAGTCTATTCCCTTTTAATATATGTTTCATTATTGTTTATGATAACGCAATACACAATATCATTTTTTTTTGCATTCTGCGCATGAATAATAGAACATCTGTTACTCACATTAAAGAGGCTAGCATTGCTTATGAGATCAGAAACAAGCGCGCACTACTTGCAATAAAGCGATACTCATATTTGACTGGCTTACTCCTAGCAAAAATTCACTTGAGCGGATTATAGATTGCTCAGTATAAAGAAGTGGTTATAGCGGACCTAATAAAATTGGTCGAATGAAAAATAGTCGAGAGAGATTTATAATAAAAGAACAAAAGCTTTCAACTGTATGAAAAAATGGTGTGAGTTTTCTTGCACTGACACCTGCCTCTACATCCTCAAAATACTTTTTCCTTAGTTTCACTTTTCTATCAGAATTAATTCTGATATAACTTCATGAAAATCTGTGGATCTAACAATTTTAATTTTGAAAAGAAATTCTAGTTCATATGCTTCTTTGTAGTGATTTGCAATTTACTAATAGCATCGTCCGTCTTTTTTTTGTATTAGTTTACCTTGTTAATGTGAGTTGAAACTGTTATTAAAAAACCTTTTGTTATTGATTTCTCGACTATTTTTTACATCTATCAATTTTGCTATTAATTAATTTTTGCGTCGATTATTTTCTGCTTTCTCGCTCATTATGAAGAGGTTTTATTGTACTTCAGAATACTTTGTTAAACATGTCATTTTTTTGTTTAACTAGTGATTCTATTTTGATTCATAACATTAACAAGTACTGTATTAATTGCATTATTATTAACGTAATTTTCTATTTAACATAAGATATTAAACAAAATCACTCATATCGATATCATTAGATGGCAAATCATTAAATAATGATCAAATGATGAGAATAATGTCTGTAACATTGTAGTACTCAGAACTAGATCTTAAAAGAAACGACTAAATAAAAATTATATTGCTTTTCTTTTCATCTTAGTGAAAGTTCATTTTACGACTTAAAGGTCATAAATCTTTCATATAACGAAATAAAATAATAAAACAGTTTGAAGAATACTCCATTGGATATTATATAAGTATCATCTTCCAAAATCCGATAGATGACAGTCTTTTACAACTAGTTTAATTATATAAAAAAATTTATTTGATTAGAAAGTAAGTTTCATCAAGAGCATAGGTATATATATATGAACTTTTTTTTTTCTTCGAAAACTTTCTCGCTTGCACTGAAAATACGTTCACTTGTGACTGAACTTGCCAGAACTTCCAAAAGCCATTTTACTAAAACATTAAGTTGTAAAATAGTTCAATGGCTATTTGTCTCATTAGTTCCATAGTAATTCTTCTTTAGCAAAACTTGATTTCGTTTTAAAATAATGATCGACTTCTTCCAAACCAACAAGATGCTAAAAGTCTCTTCGAATTTGCTGGCGAAAAAATTCTTAGCAATATAAACAGTATCCTAATTCTATCTTCAACATTTTTTGTACCATCCTTACTCTATCCTATCCTAAACTTTGCTTATCCTAACCCTACCCTACAGGATTCTGGTCACAAGGTCTGGGAAAGTGAAAGCCTACCCTAGATTTACGCTTAGCAGACTAGGATAGGTTCAAACACTTTTTCCTTCTATTAGATTGATACATTTTGAGCAGCATATCCCATTGTTTTGTACAAACGTCGATATTTTTCGCCGCCTTCGGCACTTAACAGTGAATATTTTCTTAATCGAGCAGATTTAAAAAATGTTTTTTGAGAAAATATAAAGTTTTATACAAGTAAATATTAGATCGTACATTGTCAATGAATTGAAGTAGAGATCCTTCGTTACAAATGAAGAAGAACTGTACGAACAATCTGAGTTAAATTAACTAGAACATATCTTCATCTTCGGTGACTAGGAGTATATGCCTATTAAATATTTTCAATAGTGAAGAATCTCACAATACAACATCTTTCTTTTGTTTTTGTGAAACATTTCTCTTTCAACATTAAACTTTTTTCTCCGGTAAACCAGATAAAAATCTCTTCTTTCTTAGATCGTATTTCGATGAACATAAGAGTCTGCATGTTTTTTTTTTCTGATCCTCATTATTGTTACACATTGTAACATATGAGTTCGATAGAAAAGATACTAATTATATTTCATCTAAGTCGCATTTGAAAATTCGTCTTCTATCAGTTTTATCCTTTACATGAGAATCTTATTAGAAACGTTGAGCTTATACTGAAATCAAAACATTCCGCCGTCTATGACAACGATTGTATGATTTTAATGAAATTCAATTAGCTATTGTTTTATTTATAAATAGAATATATTCACCAACTATCTTACAAACTCAATAACAATTCTTTTTTTTCTATCTGTATATCAAATAGAATCAAGAATAGCATGCAAAGTTCACCAATAATACCTTTTGCAATAGTTTTGTACTGAAAGCATATTTGACGACGCGTGATTGCAATGACTTTTCAAGAGAAAGAGACAATTAATTAATTCTATAGAACAAAAAGGAAAATATTTAGTAAATCAGGAAAATTAATCTTATTTAATATTTTGAATTTACAGGCATTCATTTCATTATACACAACAACAACAACATCAATTTAGATAGAAAATCTTGACAATGATTGCAAAATATAATATTAATTCAACGCATTGTAGATTTTAAAATCTATAACCATATATGAATATATCATAATAGACGAACGAATAATTAAACATAGAATTCATATTTGTCTTTTGTCTTATGCTTTAAAAAGTACACCAAGAAGAAAACTCATAAAAATGAAAATGTTGAATTTTACTTGAAGGACAAAAGACATAAGTCAGGAGTCGTCTGGATTGTATTCATCGATTTTTATCTTGTTAGAATAAAGATCGATGAAATCTCAAATAAAAATCTGAATATTTTACGAGAAAGCTTAGACTAATTGATTGCTATAGATCTTATTAAGTAGCTTTGTAATTATATAATAAAAAAGTTGAAATGATCACAGACAAAAAGAAACATTTTTTTAAACTTATAAATGTAAATCCGAGTACATATCATACTCATAATGTCAAGTATTCTGACATATATTTTTCTTCCTCAAGTATCGGTATTTGTGACATGATTTCAGTATATAATTTGCATTGCAAAATGCTCAGACTTACACGTCGTTAGACATGCAACGGAAATAAAAATTCAAAAGGTGCCTGTATACAATTATTCAGGATTACTATCGTCGTCATTGCATAAATATGAGCGTAGAAAGACACGTGACTAATTTAATATTCTTGGTTTCCTATCTTTTTATGAAATTTATAATCGTACACATTTTGTTTACATTTTATTGCATTTTTATATTGACATGCTACGCGTCCTGGCCATCTGGAATTTATTCTTTTTTTCTTTTTCCATCTTCTTTCTGTCTATTTGCATGATAAAACATAAATACACAGTATTACAATGTCGTTTCCGATTTTTTCTATTGAAAATATGTGTAAGCATGAGGATTTGAACAATATCTGACTTCGAAAGTTAGCTGTGTTATTTTCAGAAAACAAAAACAACGAGGTAAAATATAATTAAATTCTTTTCTTTCTAGAAAGAAAATGTTTAAATACTAATTTGTGAATATTATGAAATATAATCATTGGAAATTATTCTTAGCTTTTCAATTGTATACTATCATAGATTGTGGATGTCTTTTTTTATTAGGTACAATATATCTTATTTTTATTCCCATTTTTCTTTCGAGTCTATGAATAATAAATTTCAATAATATTTTATAACAAAATCTAAACCGATTAGTTCTAAGAATGTGATAAGTACATTTTTAATAAGAAATTTACAAAATTTATCGTTATTTGTGTCATCCGATTAGTTTTCCTTAAATAGAAAATATAATCTTTATATGTAATGGGTCAATGAATTCAGATTTATTGTTCCTGTTTTTTTTTGCATCTTTCCATACAAATGACACGATGATTTTTTGAACTGATTAGCATTCGGTTTTTTTTTATTTGAAATCAAAAATAATTTCATTTCGAGATTTTTGTAAGATAAATTCTAAGTTTAATGAATATATTATCATAAAAAAAAAATATTATTAGATATATAGATTTTATAAGATTTTTGAATAAATCATAATCACTGGATAATCGAAAAATTAACCTAAGCTAATAAGAGCTGTTTTTATGATTGATTAGATCATAAACTTTGTCAGATTGAAACATAATAATCAAATACAAAATCATTGTATGAAATCTCCTTAATCATTGCGGAAGTTTTGTTTTTGATGAATAAAGTACTAGTTTGAATAAGGATGATTACTAGACAAGATCTTCATTACAGTAAATCTTCTTTTTATATCGTGTTCGATCTTTATGATTATATAAGTCCATTCATCGTAATAAATACAAACGAGAACTTTTATTACACATGTTATTAATCATTATCTTTCGCTTAAATTATTATTTGCGCAATTAAATTATGTGAAAAGTACTGAATTACACATGGGTTGCATAGTATTTTTCTTTAAATACATTATTTGAATGTGTTGATCATCATTCATAGAAAAGTTTTCTTCTATCATTGTAAACAAGAAAAGTTTTCAAATGACCTCAAAATAAATAATAATTATTTTTATTATTTAAATATGATTTAAATTAATGCCAAATCCATGATATATTGAAAATATCTTAAATAGTTAATATGATCTATAAAAAAACTAAATTTTTATCTTACAATAAAATTTTTTATTTATTTTTTTATGATAACGAAGTATTTCAATAGTTTTGTTTGTAAACTAAGATAATAGTAACATTTATCTACAATTGAATTTAACTATTCAAAATTTATAAATATTGTCTATTTATTTTATAAACTAGGTTTTATTTAGTCCTGTCACAATATGTTCTAGTAATAGAATCTACGTCGAAGATTAAAAACAAAATCTATTTATAATATAAGCATAGATAATCTCAAGTTTTCAATGGAAAAGAAATCTCGCATGAATATTTATCGGAGGTTATGAAGACATCATTTGAATAATCTATTGATTATTTAACAGTTAACTTGAATAGCATATTCTTTATTATAGCTTAATAAGAATAGTATATTCATTTTTCGTTAGAATGTTTTTTTGTATTTATTGATAAGAAGAAAAATTCCGAGTACTTTTTCTTTTGTTTACTAAATTAAATATAAATAAATATTAAAATTATTTATATAAATTCAAATATACCCAACGATTTACTTAATTAGAATCCTATGATAATATCTTTAAGAAAATATTGCCTTGCTACCAGATGTAAGTAACAAAAACAATATACAATAAAACCTCTATATGTGAACACCCCTCCTTAATGAACTCCCCGTTATTATGAACACCTCCTTCTTATGAACGCTTTTTACTGGTCCCGAAGGTGTTCAGATTAGAGAGGTTTTGCTCTATATATATAATTCATATATCCGTTTAAAATAATAAATTTTTCTCATCGACAAATGCACCATTGATTTAATCAATTTACTGCATTTAAAGTATGAAATTGTCTGGAATAATTGTTTTTTTGTTACTTGAGTGGATAGAGGTGCTATTGACAGTTCATTAGAAATCTGTATGTATTCATGTATTTTGAATTACGATAGAAAGGATGACAATGTGCGTAGGTTGAATATGAACACTAAAAAATAAATATCATCTTTCTTATATATTTTCAATGGATCAAAGTTCGGCCTTTTCTGACAATATTTTTAATATATTTGCTTAAAATAAAGTCAAATAATCGTATTAATGTTAATTAAAAATGAAAGAGAAACAATCTTTTCGTGACATATATATTGAAATAAGAAATGCAGACCAACAAACACGTCCTTTATTTTGTCATGTCTAAATATCATCAAATTTCTTTATTTTGAATAAATATATTAAAAAAATGATAATATTATCATTCAATATTGATAAAAATTAATTAGCTAAAATATTTTTCTTATATATTTTAAACATTCTAAAGTTTTCTTGTGGGAATTAGTGTTTCACCATAATTATTAACAATGAAAAAGATTAAGATTATGTGATAGACGTTATGATGTCATTGGTCGAATCTTACAGAAGACCGTAAAATCGAGAAAGCCTAGATTCTTCTGAATCAATAGTTACTTTAACAATTAGAAATTTTCTTATGATAGTTTAAATGCAATACGATGCTCTACGTTTTTTTTCATATTACTCTTATAAGAGAATACTTCAGTATCCATCCTACAACATTGTTTAGGGTTGAATGTTTTCTTTCCGTTATCATGTGTTATAGTTCTATCATATTAACTGAGCACTGAAGAGGAAAAATATCCATAAAGAAAAATTAGTTTTCTTTTTTTTTTCCTTTCTAACTTGGTTTTTTTTTGCTTATTTCTTTATTTATAGTCGTGCTAGAATATTAGATGTCTACAGACGAGTTTGTCTAACAAAATTAAAACATCACGATAGGTAATTATTGTTCTCCGCTGTTTGTATTTAAGAGAAATATCTAATTGATTCTTTATTTATGAAAATTTCGAAACATCAATTTTTCCAATTCAACAAATAAAATAAATAAAAACACATGTCGTTCGTTTTTGTATTCTTTTACTTCTTGATTTATAAATAAAAAAACAAGAAATCTATCAAATAAGGAATATGATTACTGATTGCCAATATCTAAATTAATCTATTAGTAATGTAATTTTCTTTTTTACGAAATTCAACTATTGTAAAGATCTTTTCATATATATATATTGATATTGAAAAAAATTAATTAACTTAATTTCTCGTTCATCTTGTATTGTTATAGATAATATAAGAGGATAAGTACTAATCCACTATGAAAGCAAAAAAAACATCCCATGATGATGATATAAAACCAATTAAAATCATTTTATAATTCTAACTTTTTTTTTTCTTTTCTGTATGTTTGTCAGTACTTAGCGTCTCTTTTTGCATAATAAATTTCCTTTGATTATCATTAATTGGTTTGTTGTTTTATTAAATTTCTTTTTTTTTTGTTTTTGCTTCGTAATTTGTTATTAATACATAAGTTAATTCATTGTGTCAAAAACAATGTATTTTTTTCTTTGTATGAAGAGAGAAAAGAAAAATTAGTACGTAAAAGTAACAAAGATATTGACTTCACATACAGGTACCTTTGGGTGTTTGTTTAGTTCGTTAGAGAAAACTTAGCATATATTATTATTAATGATAGTTTCTTTTTTGTTCACTCTATATAATGAACTAATCACCCTTTTCATTGTCTTAAAGCCAAAACGTTTTACCCTTGAGCTTCTTTGACTTATCATGATTGTCAACCCATGTGCTTTTTTTGTTCAAAATTCAATTGGCTGTTTCTTCAAATCATTGAACACATCTGTCTAAATGCTATTTTGTTTCTAATAAAAAAAAAAAAAAAAGATATTTTTTTCAGATAATATGTTATCTATATCATGTACATTTATTGGCATATGCTTATTTATATTGGGTTCATCAGGCAATGGTTTATGTATATTAGTATTTCTTCGAAAAAAATTTCGTTCTCGTATAATAACACCATATTTTATTATTTTATTATTTGCTGATTCAATTTATTTATTATTTCGTTTAATAAAATTACTTTATTATTCACAAACATTATTCAAACTTCATACAAATATAGAAGAATCATGTTCAAAAACATTTCTTGCACGTTTATATCAACATGTAACACAAACATGGCCACAACCATTCGTACCATTAGTACAATCAGAAACATACATGCGTTTCTCATTAGTATTAATGTCAATTATGTCTATTCAAAGAACAAAATTTATAACACGGTCAATAAAACTTCTTGTTTTACCAACAACATTTAAAGATACACATAAATATAAATGGACATTTTTACTTATTTTATCAGCTTTTTTTATTGCATATACATTTGAATTTGCTGGTTTAACATTATTTTGTTCGAAATCAAATAATCGTAATATAACATATGATTGGTTTATTTATATGAGTAAAAATATGGAAAATGCAACACATATTTTAACAAATAAAATGTCTAATCAACCACATGAATTAAAATGTGTTGAGTATGCAATACATGGTTTACAACAAAATCAAACATTATTTATAGAACAAAATCCTATATGTACACAAGATAAATTAATAGATATTTTATCACATTATTTTGATCAACATGAAAAACCAATTGTTAATTTAATACAAAAGATTATATTTTTTCAAACAGAACATAGAATATCACGTAATGAAATCCGACGAAAATATCATTTTCATGAATGTCTTTTTCCTCAAGAACCAAATTTTTTTCATCGTTATTATGATTTTATGTATAGTCGTATATTTGGTTTAAATCGACATACCTTACTTTTAGGTAAGAATTATTATAGTTAGCTCTTAAAAATCTATATCACAAAAAAATCATTCTTCAAAATTAATCATTTAAATCAACTTCATGATTAAGAAAAATAATAAAATATTTATAGAATAGTTATTATATTCATTATTATTCATCTAAGAAAAAGAAAACAATAACAAAACCCTAGACATCAACTTAGTATTAGTATTAAAAAAGAAAGACTGTCGTTGTGATATTAGGACTTAGAACAAAATCATTTCATCTTGCTTATGTCACTACAAAAAATTAAATAAATAATCAAATATATGTTTTTTTCTGAAGTAGTATTAAGTTAGCATTAATATAATGCTAAACACCTGTCATAGGTCATATAAACTTTTTACAGATATGTTAACGCAATTTCAATATTAATTTTGTACTTAATTCATTTTATATATACAAAGGAGATTAGAATAAACAGAAAAATGTTATTAAAGTTGAATTAATACCAATTATGTCAAAATTTTTGAGATATTTTTTTGTTTTGCATGTCACTCTATTCTACACAAATCCCGAGATCAAATCTTTATAGCTATTTATCTGAAATTTGAATAAACTGCTAACATTGAACACGTGTAATCTTTGAAACTAATTAGAGATTTAATGTGACTTTCAAAGAGTAAGAATCTTTAATCATCTTCATCTCAAATATTAGTAGAAAATCACGTTTATGTTAATTAATGTGGACGCTTTGTCCTGAAGATAAAATGTTTTTTTTTACTGTGTTACTCTCAAATATGTCGTCAAAAAACAGTAAGCTCGATGCACAACATTGTTAGATCGTATGCCTTAAGAGTAAACATCCTCGATTGTTGAAAGAAATAATAGGTAAAAAAGAATTAAGCTCAACAAAATAATACAATGAAAAACTTGACTTCAACCGAAGATGATGAAAATATGTTGAGGAAAAATCATTACTGATCTTGTAGAAATAAATGACTTTAGTTGTCAATCTTTCAATTTATCCTTGTGGGAAAATAATATGATAATACACATGTTTAGTGTTAGCAGTCTATCAAAAATTTTGAATATGGCTATAAAGATTATACTTTATAACCTAAGTAGAACATTCAATTGCGTATCTTTGGAACAAAAAAAAAACACTTGTATGATTATGATATTTGTTCGCACTATTTTAATGCTAAAACTAATGTTAAGTCGACATTTCTAAATGAAACTTTTTTATGGATTAAGTAGTGGATTTTCTTTTTTTTTATTATTGTATATTATTAAGTATATACTTAGAATTCTTCAAGGGGCTGAAAGCAACTAAATTCTTTTTATAGTAAAGAAAAAAAAAGACAACCCTAGAATAAGAATGCTAGTATTTTATGCGTGATTTTAAATCCGAATCTCCAATGTTACTATAAAAAAGTGTACTATTTATGGAAATTTCAATAGCATAGCGATGTACATCTATGACATAGGCAAAAACAAATTATAGACGTGAAAAATATATTGTAAATTCAATATTAAAGATGTTATCGACATTAATAAGATGAACGTTAGCATCAGATTTATCTTACTTCAAATAATTGAGAACAAAATAGCTTTAAAAAAAAACAAAATCTGTTAATTGACATGACATGTTTAGTCAGAATTTAAATGTCAGTCATGCAACAAGAACATTATTTGCTTTTTGTCAAGTCATATTATCAAATATTATTTTATGTTACATCGATCAATAGAATTTATTTTTGTTCATATAAGTATAGATGTATGTCGATAAGATGATGAAAAAAAAACGTAGATAATGTTGCAGTTAATTCATTTAAATATTGTACTTAGAAATAATTATTCAATCTTATTGAAAGGTCTAATTTAGTATAGATTTACGAGTACTTAGTAGAGCGAGACATACTTTCTTAAAAATATGTCAAAGAAAATTTGATAGATATTCGAGTATGTCATACTGTCGAATATCCTACCCAATAAAAAATATTTATGAGAAAATCAAGATTATTTTTGATTATCGGTGTTAAAACCTCACTTTTTTTTGGACGAATCTTCCACTTCTCGCAGAAAATCCGATTGAAATTGATTAAAATCAATAAATCAGATGAAAAAAAATAATCTATTTCATCGATTATTCTTGACTATGGCGCTGATAACGTGACTTCCATCGATAATTAATTTTAGTCTTTTGAATTGATTAAAATCTGTATCGATGAAAATCGAATTGATGGGTTTGCTGTTGATTATTCACGATTATCATCGATAATAGATTTTAATTTGCTCAATAGATGCAAATCACAATCAGAAAAAAAAATCTAATTCAGGGATCTTTATTGAATAATCAACCAATGTTATTGTAGTAATTTGATTTCAATCGATTTTGAAGATGTTGGAAAATATCAGTAAGGTCTATACAGAACCAGATTATTTGGATTAATACGAGGTATATTGAGCGGAATATTTATTGCTACCAATACTATGGTAGATAAAAAAGTCATGTAATAATTATTAGGATAAAAGTTCTAGAAAAAACACGATATACATGATCATGAACAATATTAGTGCTCTTTCCAAAGCATGATTTAGATTAAAAAATTCGGCTTAAATTGCTCTTGATCAATAAGACGTTCATCCGAAACATGAATCATGTTTTATCGATTCCAAAAAGTACTAATGAAATGAAATTGATTATCTTCGTAAATAGGAGGCACAGATGAGATGAGTAAACCTTTGAGAATACAAATTACAAAAAGTATTTTTTTTTTATACACAGAAGTATTACATAGAAAAAGATAAAAATATGCATGTAGTTGATTAAAATATTTTTATTGATTTCAATCCGTTTCTTAATTTTTAATTGATTATAATCAAAATTTAAAATCGAATTATTGTACAACAAAATCAAGATTATAATCGATTACAATCAATATTGAAAATCCAATTAGGTGCACAGGATTTTGAAATTTTAATACTTGAAATTTTTCCCTGAGTATTAAGGTTTCGATGAATTCTATCTACTTTATTTATACTTCGAACAATCTTAGTTATTACAAATATATCTAAAATTGATTTAATTGTATTATGTTTTGAATATAACGTCAAAAAACTGTGTTATAAGAGAGATATGAACTAATCTAGATTCGAATTAGTAATATGTTGTTTCGAAATGATAAAGTTCTTATATAACTAAACTGTTTTAAATTATTCAAAGAAATTAACTTTGAACAAATAGGTATTTTCAACGACATGAACCATGGATACATTATATTGATCATTACCTTTTTTTTTTCAACGAAATACTATTCAATAAATATCGAATTCAATCAATAAAAATTTAAGATCTTATCCAGAATATGCTTGATTTCCATCGGATTGCTTTAAAGACTAGTACTTATCTGAGACCAATTGTATACGCGTAAGAAAAATGCGATTTTGTTTTGTTGAATAAAACAAAACATTTACATAAGAAATATTTTCTCCATCTACTATCAAACGACAAATATTTTTATAACTGAAACAAGAATGTTACTTCAATATATCTCCTTAGTTAGACTTAGACTTATTCATGATTTGTAATACTAAACTTCTTTTATGAAGACATAATACATCAAATTCTGAAGAAAGTAAATATCGAATACAAGAAAAAAAAACGAATAGAAATCAAGAAGATATTAATATCTATCTTTGGAAGTCATAATCACAAATTTCAAGTAACACTTCTACTGTTACTTTGAATTAATAATAGACTTAATAGCTTTTTGCGTCTTTAAATAAATACTGAGTGTACAGACATCAAAACAAAAGTAATCACGCATGTAAATACTTTCAAATACCATCAAAGAAAAAGCAATTTTTTAACATAGCTAAAGAATTCTTTGTTAAATTATAGCTAACAATTATGTAGAATAGAAAACAACTACTATTCAAAAAAAAAAATTTTTTTTTTTCTTTTTGAATAACAAAATTATTAATTCTAAGGAAAATCTATTTTCAATTATAAATTAAACTTTATTTATTCCACATAGTATTTAATTCATAGATTATTATGACTAATGTTAAATCTTATATTTAAACAATTTCTCTAAATTATACTGAGAATCAATCGAATATTTTTCGATCAGATTAGCCGATCGAGATTGTTGACCTAACTGGCGAGAAATTGATATGCCGAATATATCAATTAAGTAATTAGTTCTTTCGAGAAACAGTCTATTACTTCAGTTCTATGAAGACATACAATATAAAATTCATATAATCCTTGGAGTTTCTAATAGTAATAATTCTTATTTTAGTCTGTCACGTTTTATATGTGCTAATATTAAGAACAAATGAAGATTCCTTTTAAAACATTTCATCTAGCAACTGACATCTATATACTATGACTTTTTTCTATGATGATATGATTACTTTACAATCGAGAAGTTTGATCTATTCTGATTTGAAATAATGATCTAACACCGATCAAAAGGCATCTCAATTTGTAAAATGACACTATCGTCGATAGAAAGATAGTACAATTTTTATATTACACTTTCTATTTGAAGGATTTTTAATATCGAAATATTTTCACAATTGTATGATGTTAGTATTTGACAAGATCTTGGCAATAGAACGGAATTTTTCTGATATTTTACAATGAAAACATGAACTGAAGACTACTATCTGTTGGGATTTTATGAGAGTCGGTTAGAACAAGTCCAGAAAAGTGCACTCGAAATTTCGAGATGAAAAATCTTTAGTTTAGACCAAAATTAACTTCTAATACTAGGCTAACTTTTCGTGAGCATAATAAATTCATTCAACATGATTCAAGACTCTTATCGTATGGCGAGAAAATGTTGGCTCTATATTTATAACTGAGATTTTGACAACGAATGAAATTTATCAGTTGAAAACTTCCAGGATCATATCTCTTGATCATTAAAACTATGGAAATCGTTGAAAACCAGCAAAATAGGCCAAGACTAATGCCCCGAAAAAACCACCCAGTGTTAAGAGTTCAACCAGGCCGATTCCAAGTATGCTGTAGACTATAATTATTGTTTCTTTTATTTTTATTTAAGTTTTTGGAAGTATTATACCATCATTAATAACAATAGCAAGTAATATAATATCAGTATATCATGTACGTGAATTAAATCATTTAACATCAATTTATATCTTACCTTGTCGTCGTCGTACAGATGATACACGTCGTATATTACTTGTTATTACAGTTGAATGTTTATTTGCTATAGTTAATTCATGGTGTAGTGATATAATATTATCATTAGTTTATTGTAAAAGAAATTTATCAGCCGGTGATGATTGTCCAAATTATTTAAAGCAAAATTATGATTTATTAGTTATGTTTGATATGGTTAATTCTGTATCAAATATAATTTTACATTGTTTATGTGGTAAACGTTTTCGTAATGAACTTCGACGAATGTTAAGAACATTTATTAATTTTCTAAAACATATATTTAATAATATATGGTGTTGTTATGTTCATATTGATTGTAAAAAATTACATAAACAACAATTTGTTTCTTATAAATCATCTATAACACAACATGAAAGTTCAAATAGTTCGAATAATGCAAGTCATAATCATGTTTATTTACAAATTCAAACATCACCAAGACTAAATAGAAAACATTGTTGTGATTGTCGATGGTATTTTAATCGAAGACCATTAGGTATATCAGAACAACGTTTATCAATAATGTCAAAAGAATGTTTTAAAAAAAATCAAATTCCATATACTGTTCAATATCGATCATTAACACAACGAACTTATATAACAAAACAAACACAAGCTCGTTCAATGAGACTTTATTATCCACCACCACCAACAACAACATCATTAGTCAATAAAAATCATATTTTAAATGTTTGTTAACTCAAATCTATTTCGTTATTTCTTTGTCTTCTTGTGTTTTAATAAAATCAATAAACTAAGAATTTATTCAAAATTATGTCCTACAAAAGTATTTACTTTATAGAATCAACTAATATAATGATTCTTTACTATAAATAATTTAATGAAGAGAAAACGTATAAAATAAATAAAAATTATTTTTTTATAGTTACTCAATGTAAACAACATCTGACTTCTTGACTTCTAACTTTTCCATTAATACATGAGTGTTCTTAGAAATAATAATACTTTAAGAACAAAATTCTAGGCAAGAAAAAAGATTATTAGAAAAAAAAAAAGATAATAATCATCTTATATTCATCTTAAGCACGTAAAGATTAATGACAAGCTCTTTAGATTTTTAACTCTATTCATTCTATTTAAGACAAATGCGTATATCTTAACCTAAGATTTATTCAATAGATGTCTGTCTTCTAGAATTAAAAAAACATCCTAAAAGTACTTGATACATATATTTAAGGTCAAAATATTTTTCAAATACTCGAGAACTTTGGAATTGGCCGAGTTCGGCCAATTCAAAACTCTTTTGCATCGTTAAAAATTGGCTGGTTTATTGAATCATCATTAATTAATTAATGCGAATGGCTTCACAAAACATTCATTTTCTTGTTTGCACTCAAATTTTTACGAATCTTCACGAAAAAAATACCATATTTTAGTCGTTTATATCTGTTAGGTTTCTCATAGATGACAATGTGATATTTGGGTGTGGATCTCGGTATGAGTATCGTTGAAGTAAAGATCCACATATATATCCACACTACTTATTTGCTCGTTTCTCTTCTTCGTAATCATCAACGGAAAATAAATCCTCAAACAAGAAAAACTTGAATTGGAATGTTTTTTTTTATGTAATTGAAGAACAATAAATCGTCTAAATATTTATCAACACATACTATTTTTGATCCATTATATGGTGCCGAGACGCGAACAGCCGATGAAATAGATTTTATTATTTGAAACTATGATGCGTAAATAATGTATGAAACTAATTGAATTTGCTTTAGTCTTGTTTTTTTTTATTATAATGATTAATTTTCAGTATGCCAGTTCATTTCATGACTGATCATCTTGTGTTGAAAGAAAAGTAAATAATGGATGATGACTAAATCTTACTGCTTGATTTTTCATCTTTTCATGATTAATTTTTAATATCCGGTCTAGGAACACATTAGGTCTTTAATAGATTTTATCTCTACTTGTTGTTTTTTTTTGACAATTACCATGAGATTTTGCACTATTAACAACGGATGAATCAAGTTAATGTTTTTTTTTCAATATGGCCTAAATAATTTAGATGAAACAAAGATTTGCATTCGACTGAAACGAGATCAAAACCACAAATTATTATCGTTTTTTTTATGTTGTCATATTTGAGTTGAACAAATGACTAATGAAGAACATTGCTGGATAGCAGCAGTTCATATCTGTTTCATTCTCAACATGAGTTATCATCAAACAAATAACGATCGCACTAAATGAGTCGATTAATTGAAATAGGATCAAATACAAATATAACCAATAGGAAATAATTTCAATTGTTATAACGAAAAAAAAGATAGAGAGAGAGAGAGAGAAGGAGAGAAAAATAGAATGGATTATCTCAAATAGGTCAATTAGACAAAAGGTGTTAAATAGTTGACTAATCTTGATCATATCTAACATTTAGAAGAAGAAAAAGAAAAGCATAAAAATATAGTGTAATGTATGAAAATGAAATAATTGAATATACAAATCGTCATAAAATGGAAGAAACAACAGCTAAAGTATTTGCTCGTTTACATCATATGAAAAGTATACTTTTTAAAACTCTTAAAAGTAAATCGAATATTTTAATCAAAACTTTTTTAAAAATTATTTAAATAATATTTTAGAAACATCTTGTGGTACTATTTCTAATCATAATCGTACTTGTTGTTCACCAATAAATGATCATTATGATCAACAATCTGAATCAACAATAACATCATTAATTAATGTAAGTTTCTTTTTAAAATTAATTATGATAAAAATATATTAACGAAGATATTCTTTGTTTTTATTTTATTAATAGAATACATCGGATGATACTATTTCATCGATTAGTGGAGATTCAGGTGTGTCTATATTAAGTGATTTTTCACACTGTTCATTATCATCGTCATCATCAATACCAAAATCATGTCATGTAAGGTGTAATCCATCAATCATTAATTATATTTCACATAATCTATTAACAACTCATCATTCAGAACTTTTTCTCGATGAAATCGATGATCAAAATATTGAAGAAACTCCATCTATACAAATACCATTAGCTGAAAGTAGTCGTCGTATTATACATGAAAATGAAGAAAATGATCATACAATTGTTGCTGATGATGAAGATGACCATCCTGGACCATTAACATCAACATTAATCGATCGATGGTATTCAGTAACAAAACCTTATTCAGCAATATTTCGTCAAGATTTAACTGTTAGAAAAAATGAACTTGTACAATTATTACGTTCAACACATCCACATTGGATTTGGGTACGAAATGAACATAGTCAAGAAGGATTTATACCGATTGATTGTTTGATTGTTGCTTAATTGTAAAGACTAATTTGAATAAGAATTATTTTCAATTTTTGTTGTTGTTGTTTTTTTTGTTTCAAATAAGAATTGTTTATACTGGTTCTTTGTCAATATACAAACTAATAATTTTTCTCTTTCAGTTTAATTTTCAAATTAAATCTTATTGAATATATTGTAAGTTGGCAATTTCGGAGATAGAACATTTAATAGTTTGTGCAATCGTATTATAATAAGTGACTACACTAAGTGTTGCATCTTATAAATCATAATTAAGAATAAATAGAACAGAACATCATAGGATGGTTTTCTTCATCTTGTCTTGCAGAATACAAAACATGATCGTTCAGTCATCCTGTTTTGAAGGATAGGGGTTAAAAAGTTCGTCTTAGCAGGGCAAAATGGTACGCCGACAGAAGAACTTCCGACACTTGAACTTTTCATATAGAGTTTTGATCAACATAAATAACAAGCTAAGAGAAGACCTACACTCACATCACGAATAACTACAACATTTGATTACTAATTTTGACATATATATACTCGAACAAGAATATTTCAAGAGAGCGAGAACCTTATTTGATTTTTAGTTTTTATTTTAAATAAATATCTTATATAGGATAATATTTCACGTTCACAATCTATTGAAGCTCTACTATCATGCGACCGAATAAAGGATGCTCCTGCGTCCGACCAGCAGGATGATCTTTTCATTGCATTTCTGATAAGGAAAAAACTTCGTCTGTCTAGGAGGTACGATGTCAAACATCATAGGCGTACTATTTATGCAAAAACCATTTATAGTTTAATCAAGTTAATAAACCTTATTACATGTTTTCCAGTAGAAATGAAATAGACAAATCCATAGTGTGAAAAAATACAGAAATCAAAATGTAATCAATATAAACAGATAGATAACGAAAAGGAATAAATTTTCTTTTTCTCGGATTTCTCGTAAGAATAAATAAATATTGTTTTATTTATTTAAATTGATGATAAATGTGTTCGCTCTTGAGTAAATGTCAATCCAGATTAGTGAAACAATCTTTCCACTAAAGCACTAGTCACTAGTATGGCACATCTACTCTTCTGACTACTATTGATAATAATTGAAAATCACGACAGGTTGTATTATTAGACTAGAACTTCATTGGATCACGATCAATTAGATGACTTGGATGTCCTGCGGATTCTGTGTCATAGAAAAAAGATTATACTCTTCATGCATGTGCAAAAAAAAAAGTTATCTGCAGGGGAGATCCTGTGAAGTTCTCTAAAATAGAATAAAATTAATGTTGTTAATTACTGAGATAGATTCTACTACAAAACTTTTTTCTCTTGCGTTCATTAATACTAAGACGATGGATTACTTGTATGAAACCATAGGTGACATCAAAGGTCATCATTAGTGAAAAGAGAAAATGAGATTTTTTTTAATCTTTATTTTTGAGTTAATTAAAATACAAAACATGATGAAAGTATCTAATATTTAGACGAAATTTGGTAATGTAAACCATTCTTGACCAAAGGTATCTTTTAATCGATCGATATCACGTACATATCGATTTATATATTTGACATTTGCTGTCGATGGTTTTGGTGTTGATGGTTTCAAAATACGTGCTAATAATGATGAGGGACGAATAGATACTAAAAATATAAAGAAAAACAGAAATATATTTTTATTTGAACAAAAAAACCAATAGAATTTTACTTTTTGTTGATCGTTTACTTATAACAGTTGCTTGTGATATATCAGATTGATTGATTGTAATAACACTAAAATCGGAATTATTACTATTGATACTATCGATTATTTCCCAAGGTGTTGTAATAAATGTGCCATTAGATTTATTCTAAAAGAAATTATGTTTTTCTTTATTCAATTGTAAACTCATACGAACCATTTCATTGTTGTTTTCTGTAAGTGTTCTATCCAGTGATAATAATGAATCATCACTAATAGTATGATCACCAACAAGTGTCTGATCATTGTCACTTAATAGAGTAATACCAGATGACATAGTCGACGATAGAACTTGTATTGTTTTTCGTTTTGAAGTTGCATATCGAACAGGTGTGCATTCAAAACTACGTTCAGTACAAATATTTACTCGTTTAAGAAGACGTTTTGCACTTGATTCTAATGGACGTGTTGGTGTTATAAATGACATTATATTGTTGTTGTTGTCGTTTATGTGAAAAATATTATCGATTGATTGTTTTTCGGTCAATATATATAAGATGATGCTTTAACCGAATCGACAATATTGATAATAGACAATTCTTTGATTATTAGACAATGTATATGTACAGATGTATATTGCGTGAATGATTAGTGATCGTGATAATGATGAAAGAATAATCAAACAAATGATACATGATCAACATATGATTTCATGCTGGAGTAACTTCTTGTAGCAATAAATTAAAAGTTTGATAAATATATCATAAAATACAAAAGAAATTGAACATTTGGATTACTGAAAAAAAAAAGATTAATATTTGTTTCGAATCATTTTTCATCTACAATGGCAAACTGTATAGAAATGGTGTTGTCTTGAATTTAAATTAAATACATTCGATTAGAATAATTGTTGTTTGTGTCAAAGAAATATATGTACATGAAAATGTGAGTCAAAAGAAAATATCAATATATAAGGATTTTTATATGCAAATAAGTTTCCAAACAGGATTCAATTAAAATCCTTAACACTTTATCACTGTTTTTGGACTAGAAAACAGACAGGAAGCTACTACTGAGAAGTTGCCTATAGTTTATGAAGTAAGATCTCGTGAAAATTTAAACGATTCCTAATTGAGAAAAACACTTTTTTGACTGCATATTCAAGGAATTCAGTAGACTTGCTTGAACGTATTATCAGATTCCTCGAAAGGATCTTTGCAAGATTTTTCGAACAGAATAGAGAAGAAATGAATATATAAAGTATTACTGGATATATCTGCAGTTTTTGAACGCATCAACTTATCCTGCTGGACAGTGTCTTGTTATTAAACATGCCTTCAATCTTCGATATTTCATACTCCATTTGATACATTTAACTTATATATCTACTGGAAAAAGTGCTTTCAAAACAACAAGAAATCACAGACGAATTAAATTAATACAACAGGGTGTTATAAAACCTTTACGCCTACCTCTACAACTTAAAGTGTCAATGATATCATGAATGTATTTTATATCAAATTAGAGCACGTTAAAAACTGGATTTATTGGTACTAAATAATAAAGGTTATGAAGACCTTTTAATGTTGAACTTGAAAATTTTTTAGAAATTTGATACTTTTTTTTGGTGTAGAAAATTAAAGTGCCAGTAATTCAAAAA